CTTGTGACCTATTTACTAATATGTGAAGCAATTGTTCCTATTTGTGACTGTTGTTTTATAACACATGAATCATATGTGACCAATTGTAACTTGTTCAACCACGTGCAAATGAAAACCTTCGCCTCCACATAGACCAATACTTAAATGATATAAACAAGAATCATTTACATAAAGATCAATACTTTCGCACCTTCATTGTACCAACTACTTAAGGAAAACAAATCCACGTTCAATTCCAAAACATATTAAGATAACATTTATTGACTCCATCATAAAAGCATTTGTTTGTCTAATTTTGAATAGTCATCAGCCTAATCCATCATAAAAACAATTCCATCAATGTTAGTTTAGTCTTCTATCTTTGATTTTTCTCTTACAACCTGCCTCAGTTGTTTACTTTGAACAACAATGCTACAATTTCAAGCCTAGCATTCCCATTATCAAACGACATTAGCATTTTGGCAAGATTTTTGTGTAATAAATACTTTGTATACTTTATGACAAAAACACCACAATCTTGCTTGTAATATTTAAAGTAGACGAACCATAAGCAACTATAAAATATTGCTGAAAATTGACACAAATTGTAATGCCCATAATGAAACTTACCCATTTTGTTGTTGGGGTAAAGCACTAACAATGTTAATTTGCAGCTTTCTGGATACCTTTTCATCTCTAGTTTTCGTCCAAATCTGACTAATTTCAACATATTTGTGAGTCTTACCCTTTCACGAACCTCATTGTCCTCGTGCGATTTCTTGTTTGAATTGAATATGTATAGGACACGGTTATTAATGTCAAGCTGCCATAACGTCAAATGAGCATGATTTGTCGGCATAATGGGCAATAATATGGATTCAACTTCTCTCCGAGTAGTATTAAATGATAACCATTCACCATCTATAGTTTTGATTAGCTTTGTTCTTCACTCACAATGCTTGGATCTTGAACAAATTTGGAGTATAATGTTCAGATTATCATATTGACTATACAGTATGTAGTTATTGCCTTGATCTTCACACCTTCACCAAACTTGGCAAGTTATCTTATATAATGAACGCATGCATTCAAGTGTTGTAATAACAAATAATATACATAAGTGATGTGGACTTTATGCATTTGTGAAAAAAAAAATGGTGGCAATCTTGTACTGTGCTGCTCAATGATGAATTAGTATCAATCAACGCATGCCTTCAAGTTTTACGGTGAACAGTGACATTGTCACATGCAAATGGAGGACTTATCACATTGTTTGCCTCATTGAACTTTACCGTGTATACACATGTATGCTCTTATCAAACAAATAAATAAGATTGTGACAAAACTTAATTCATTATGTGACCAGCACTGCTATGGTTAAATAAAATAATAAGAAGTCACACTTGACACAAAACACTTGCAATCTACATTTAATGTAATTGTTCTTAGGCTTGTATTCTCTGTCAAATCAATTCTAAGAGCTCGGGTCTACGCTATCTACACTCCTTGAATAGTTTTGGAATCCAACAGTTTTCAGATTCAAATTTTGCTCTAGTGGTAGTATGACCTAGATCAATCTTAACGAGTGATTACTGAGCTTTTGATGGCTTTTGTGCCCTCTTTACAGTCAGTCAAGATGATATAGGTATAGAAGATTCTTCCAGATCCAAAAATTATAAAAAGAAAATATTATAAAATTAGTATATGAATAATCAATCTGAATTTATAATATGAAATTTTAAATTTTTTTTAAGCTGGCCTCCTCAATATGAAGTTTGGTGGATTCTAGCACACATAATAGCCTCACCAACTTATTCATGCACATCTTTACTATCAAATAATGGATCCAACAAATTACCTCATTAAGTTTTAAAGAACTGTTTGAATGACGTACCTTATCATTCATGTCAAACAATTATGACTTCATCGACAAAAGCTCCTCTTTCAACCCTTTATTCTTGACTCAAAGCTTGGTTATTTCCTCATCTATCACCTGTTTTAGTCGACGACATTCATGAAAAATTTTATAGTTAGTGGGCACTGCATTTGGCTACCCAACATTTACCATGGGCACGATAACTGTATGTGAAATGGCTTCTTAAGTTTGTAAACAATGAAATTACTTACGTTGAAGCATGAGCAATCATGATAATAGAGAGCACAAGGTTGAGTAAGAGAGCTTAAGCTAGATGCCTCTTTCTGTCTTTGTGGTGGTGAATCTACAAAATCGTTGTTTGGATCTTCTATATGTACATTTGACAGTGGGAAGTAGACTCACTTGTGCCCACTTAAGTTTTAGAGCTCCTAATGTTCTGATGTAACTGTTTAGGCTTCGAGTACGACACATCTATTGATCATGCATAACATACAAAACAATGAAATCAGTTAGCACAATGATACAAATTAGATCACAATATATCTAAAAAAAAAAAAGTCATAAAGCACATTTTTCAGGTTACAGTCATAAGAGATGTGACTTTGCGAATAGAATATTCATATTTCAAGTCACATTATATTATTTCACGTTCCAGTCATATTTCATATCACAATATATTTAAAATTCATATTTTGAACATGTCATATAGAGCATCATGAGCTCTAGATGAGATGGATCAATATCATTTATTGTAACCTATTTGACATAAGAAGTAAAAATGTTAAGCATATGTTATATCTTGAATATGTATAACCAATAAAATGACAGTTCAAAATGTATTTAAAAACTTACATTCTCAATTTCAAATAATTTGTCCACCAACATTGCCACTGAACGATATTTGTACGCATAGCCAATTCATTATTTGTCGATATTTCTTACAAAATCTTGTGGTCATGTTCCCCTTAAGTATATGTATGTACTCATATAGCCAAATTTGGGAAGCCACTAAAAAACTCGTCAATCTATAGTGGTTTGTATGTTTTGCTAATCCCTTTTCAATGATGATAATGTAGTTTTGAACAAATATTTGCCCCAAGGGAACATTCCACGTTTGTCAAAATTGTCTGTAAGTGCAAATATGTATTAGTTCATCACCTTCGTGTATGATGTAGCAAATAGATACGAGGTGATAAGATAAATAATCCCAATTTTAACCGCATCATGGTCAAGTGCATCATCCAGTGCAAGAAAGACTTTTTTGACAACTTCACTTGCGACAACTTTTAAGTCTCTGTCTGACAATTTTTTTATCTAACATCGGTCAACCATCGATCCCAGCGAATTACAATCTAGTGACCAAATAGAATTCAATGGAGAACAGAATATCTATACCATTTATCTTGAACCACATTTCTTGCTTGTTAGAGTACTTTATCTATAGAAACAAGACATAGTGAATCAACTGTAGGTGTACAACCATCTCCCTACAATGCATGTAGTAAAAGACACGTGTTTTCGAGAATGTCCCTCCAGGCAATAGTAACCTTCATCATGAACTGCATGATGACGCTCTGTGTTGAACTTGTAATGATCTTCCCAGAGAACCAGTTCCTTGATTTTATTTTATATTTCTAGTTCTATAAAATCATAATCTCAAACATGTTACTGTGACCTTCAACACAAACATGTCATTGTGATCAACATACCCATATTTAGATCATAATTATTTGGTTACAAATTCACCAAAATCATAATACAAAATAGTAGATAGCCACAAAATGTATTTCAATCACAAACAATCCAGCACACTTTACAAAACATATTCAGTCCACATAAATGGTAATCGATCAAACAACAAACAACACAAGTGGGAAACAATTTAAATTACAAAATACCTAGAACATGTCACAAAATGACATTTCGATCACAAAATACCCAAATTAGGTCACAAATTTCACAAATCAAGTCACAAAATCATATTTCACCTTCTTCATGGATTTCCTGGTTTGGGCCGACATTTTCAATCTTTTTGGTGAAGAAGAATCTTCGACAACTTTCTTACTCATTTTCCTTATCTTTCTTCCTTATCTTCACATCAACACTATGAGTCCTAACAATTTTAAATACTACCATGATTGAAGCTAAAATATAATATGGCTATTTCACGATGTTGCTCCGGTGATAATGATGACGATTGGGAGTTGTATGAAGCAGTATTATGCTGTTATCTCAGCGTAAGCTTGGTTTGAATAAATCTAGCATTGTAGAAATAGTAGAAGCTTCATGAATGGTGAAGAGAGAAACATGATTTTAATGAGAGAGATTTTGGGTAATTGTATATATAAAGATAAAATTATACGTATCTAATTAAATCCCCTAATAAACAATTACAATAATAAATTCGTTTTCATTAGTATAAAAATTCGTATTTACCACTTTATTAGTGCATTTTAAAATTCGTTCTCTTGTTTTTGAATTGTAAACTCGAGATATAGGGTTTTGAGTGATTTTCCCTTAAAAAAAATTTCAAAGCCACTCAAGATAAACAATCTTTTTTAGATTGGTACGTGGTGAATGGTTATTAAAAGTGGCGATAAAATTTTTAAAATTGCAATTTCATTTTTTCTTGATTTTTACTGTTATTTTTTATGGAAGAGTTTCATAAGAATATTATTTTATGTTAACTTTTTTTAATAGTTCTTCTAATTAGAAAAAATATTCTTAAATTTTTTTTTTCAAAAATATTAAAAACGAAAAGTAATTTTTTTACTTTTAATTCTTCAAAAATTTATTGTTTTCCTAATCCTAATCCGATTCCTCCTACGCCTCAACTATCTAATTTCACCATTTTGTCATTCCATCATTCTCCTTGAAAGAGCGTGTTTTCACGCTACATGTGAAATAAATATCTTTCAGGTTTCCTCCAACAATGTCTCAGATCTTGATATCCTAGATCGTCCATCTCTTGTTCTAATCCAATGAAAATTCAGCGTGTCATTCACTCTCCATGACATATCATGGGTTCTGTCTCTTAGGACAGAGATACAAATATACATACATTTGAAGTGTGGGTGTGAATTATTGAAAAATAATTCTTTTTTGCCCTTTTTTGTTTCTCTCTCTCTCTCTCTCTCTCTCTCTCTGGGAATATTTGTGAAAAAGACCATTGGAAGCAACATTATCCTTTAATAGAATAAAAATAGAATATTATAGCTGAAAAAAAGAAAGATCCACCTCGATCACCACCACCGTTCCCGGCGAGGAACCCCTCTTCACACAAAAACACATACTACTCAAAAATCAAATCTTTCTTGAGGTCTGTGAAATTACATGTTTTGATTTGGATTATTTATACAAAATCTTGAAATTTTGAAGAAGAGAAAATTTGTCCAACGTCATTATCAGTACATTCAAGAAGAGGGAATAAGAATGAGAGAAGAGGACTCCAATTGGTTTGCCAAATGGGAAGAGGAACTGCCTTCACCTGAAGAACTGACGCCCTTATCCCAGTCCCTAATAACCCCTGATCTAGCACTTGCCTTTGATATTCGGAATCATCACCACCAGAGCACGCCGCCTGCGCAGCTGCCGCAATCCACGGTTCTCTCCTCCCAACCCAACTCCTCGGCGGAATTTGACTCGGCAGAGTTGGGCGGAGGTGGAACTGGAGGAGGAGGAGTCGGGTTGGCCTCAGATGAGCCGGCCCGCACCCTGAAGAGGCCGCGGCTCGTTTGGACGCCACAGCTCCATAAAAGATTTGTAGACGCTGTAGCTCATTTGGGGATCAAGAATGCTGTTCCTAAAACCATTATGCAGTTGATGAATGTGGATGGCCTAACCAGAGAGAATGTTGCTAGCCATTTGCAGAAGTATAGGCTTTATCTAAAGAGGATGCAGGGCATGTCCAATAATGGAAGTGGTGGCAACAATAGCCCTGCAACCTTGTCTGCTCTAGGAGTCGACCCTGCGACCGACCATTTGTTTGCCAGCTCCCCTGTCCCGGCGCATTTTTTGCACCCAAACAGGCCGAATTCTGACCATTTCTTGCCCTTTGTGCCGGTAGCCTCAATTCAGCATCATCATCCAATGCCAGTGGTGGGGCCGGGGCTGCACCATCATTCGCAACAGCAATTTAGACATTTTGGGACTTCACCTGCGAATGGGCAGTTTGAACATCCGTTCATTAGGCCGTCACAGTCAGTTCAAAGCAATAATGGTTCTGTTATTGCACCACATCTGGAGGATTTGGAGTTGGCCACCCCCACAAATGGGAGGAAAGTTCTCACTCTTTTTCCAACTGGCAATGATTAAATGTGGGGTAATTGTGGACTTTTCATAGAAATTCTGCATTTTTCTAATCAGTTTCATTTCTCGGCCTAGTGAAAATCTGTCATTGAAGTTACAATTTAGTGTCAAGACTTAAGCCGCCTTTTCTCATTAATGGTGTTTTAAGCTATTCCGATGTAGTAAAGTTGAACTATTGGCATCCAATTGACATGAAATAATTTTGCTTCTTATATTCGTGTTAGCTTATTGTAAATCTCACTTTATTCATATTGGAATCAGCAGTTGCACGGTGAAAATTCCGTTGCCGGTTAATACAGTCAATTAGTGTAAGTTAAGTTGTCGGCAAGTCAGCTTCCGATTGCAGATATTAATCCGTGTAGTAGTATATTTCACATCCTTGCCCCTATCAGCTGGGTTGTATCTTTGGGCGGGCAGGCGGCAATAATTTGAAAATACTTCTCTTGTTTCGTAGTATAGTGCAGAATCGAGTACTACTTCTAAATTGCGCGGTTTTAAAGTGGACATGTAAACCTTAAAGACTTTTTTAGAAGAAGAACATTTCTATTGTACTATGAACAACCGATACATTGTGACAGCATTTCCTATAGTTTTTCTTATGTTCTATAAAGTCTATGCATGATTTATATCTTTTTCTTCTGTGAAGGTTTTATTTGGTACTATTTCGTATTAATCGAATGAGCAGTTTCTTCATTTGAAAATGCATTGAAATAACTCTAAAGTTCTATGTACCTTCACAGTGCTGCCAAAGTTAATGCTTTATGCTGTAATGGCTTGTTTGTAATTAAAATCTTGTTTGTTATACTGTTCAGTGCTACCTTGAAATTTTGCTTTCTTGAGTTCAGTTTCTAGCATGGTGCATTTGTTTTACTCAGTTCAACATAGAACTTATCGCATGAGCATCTTGAAAAATTTCAGTGTGAACTTTACAGTTTTCTATATCGAATTTCATGATTTATGTGAACTATTGCAGGTTTCTCTCGACTAACAGAATGATTGTTTGATGTAGGACAATCCTATTGTAAATAGGATACAAGTTAGATAATTTTAATTAAATGTCTAATTATAATAAATTTTTCTTTTTATTCTTATTTCTTTTTCAAAATATGATTTCTAATTTCATTTATATTAGGATTTATTTTAGTTCCCTTATATTAGTTTATTAGTAGTAATAGGAAATAATTTTGCCTATAAATATAGATGCATCGTACACTTTTTAACAACAATCAATTATTATTCAATATATACACGACATGATTGTTCAAATATCGTCTTAATTTATTGCATAATTCTTTTCCGCACCACTGTCATTGTGTAACTAGATTTTACAAGTATTCTAAGCAGGTAATAATGGTTTTTTCCTAGTTTGAGTTGTGTAGAAGTAGCTGAAGCACTGGAGGTTGGACTGATTCAAACAGAGGTAGTAAAAATCTGGTAACAGAATGTGTGCTTGTAAAATATTTGATAGGTTGATACCGACAAGATAGGACAGTCAAAGTTGGTTACCTCAAGCGTACTAGACATGGTCCACCTAGGGGTGACAAACGAGCTGAATTGCTTTCGAGCTCGACTCACTTATTTAATAAAAAAAATTAAAAAAAAAATGTAAACCTGACTCATCGGCGACTCGACGCAGATTGTGAGGCCCACAAGCCAGAGGGCCAGAATAAGCTTAGGATTTGAACAAGCCAAGCTCGGGTATTTAGCTAAGCTTAGCGCACCATTGAAAATTTGGAACCTTGGAGGAGCATTACTTGCCACAACTTGGTGTTAAATTTACTATATCCATTTGCATGATAGAAGTATTGTTGATTTATAGGATAAATAAATAACCAAATGGCACCATTAATTAAATAGATAAAATAGTTGTCTTCTAATTTTTCATAAGAACCACATCCAATTTGCTTGCGTAGAAAATCCTCTCGTGCAAATTGTACAGTCCAGCATATCATTTGTTACCAAACATACTCTGATACTTGAGTTGGATGCACGAAAATCTGTTCGGTTTTCAAAATTTTCTTACCATTGCCGTTGTGCTTAAACTAGCATTTCTATAGAAGCGCCGAGTGAGTGGTTGGGTTCAGTCATGCTTGATCACCATAGCATACCAAGAGTCTCACGAGTTCGACCAGGACATATGTTGAACATTTGAAGTTGAGTTGTGGCACGGTGACCATGGAAGTGCCCATGGACGAGAAAGAAAGGCGCTATATAACAGGGGTCATTGCCACCTAGCTTAAAACCTACAGTGCCAAGAAAGTCTGTCCTAACTGAAATCGGGGCATACTGAGGTTTTGATAATCATCCTTGTAAAGTGCATTCAGTATTTCAACTATAATGTACTCATTGAACTGGGACGATATTCAAGATGAAAAAAAGTTAAAACTACGAAAATTCTGCTGCGTGTTTTCTACATTTTAACAACCAAAATGACTCCAAAAGGATAAAGTTACCTCTAGCCAGTTATGCATTAGGGCCGATTGACCCCTTTATGATTGAGCAAAATACCTGATATGGCAAGACTAACATCGCAATAATTATAGAATCACAAATAGAACAGTTTGTAAACGTTAAAAATCTCTCTACAAACAATATAGTCAGTCCAGAAGTAAATGGAAATTGAAGCTAAATTAAAATACCAAGTTTACCAGTCTGACATTTCATCTAAATCAATAAAATCTAGATTAGACAAAAAAACAGTAGCTCATTCAGTAACACAGACATCCTCCCAGCTTATAATTTTATTGTCATGGATGATTCTGGGAGCATTCAAAACTTAGTGGCTGCTGAGAGAAGGGAGCCTACAAAAAACAGAGCAGGTCGAATTAATTGAAAAATTGCAAACACCACAACGGATAATTAAAAACAACAGTTCTCCATATGCATTCGTCAACAAAAATTTTCTTTCTTATGCAGTAAAAGCTCAAAGTTTCCAATACAAAAATCCATAGTGATCCCAAAGAGCAATAGAAGAAGTAATGAAGAATCAGCTGATGCCTACCTGAAAAAAGGTCTGCCTCATGTGATCATATGAGTGTGCATACATCATTGACTGGGTTGGCCACTGCATGTATAAAGCATCCCTAGAAGTCTGATTCAATCCCATTGCATGGTAAGGGCTCATAATGGGGCTCCTGTAATTGATGGAAGCTTGAGCCACGGGCATCTGATGCAGCTGAGGAATGGCAGAATCATATTGCACAAATGGAGGCGGGAATTTTGGCACATGAATAGGTGCTACATTGAAACTTTGAATAGTCGGTAAGTTCTTAACATATCTGCATTAGCATGACATAGAAGAGGCTATATTAATTAGCATCAATATATATTGTTGTAATACTTTGAAACATCATTAAGTAAATATGCTACTTATAATGAAATTTCCTAACGTTTAATTATCTCCTATAAACGTTCTACAAACTGAAAATGAGTGGTGCTTTAGAAGTACTCTACTGACATAAGATCCAGTGTAGTGGCTGTAAAACTGCAAGTTTATAAGATTAAGAAACGAGGGAACAGACTAGGACCGTGAGTTAGTAAATAGAAGCAACCAGGATCAAAATAAACCTGACATATGCAACTCACTCAATTACCTTAGATTTGATCTCTCATCAATTGTGTTTAGTGGGGAAGTTGCAAGAATAAGTGTGTGGACACATCATTAGAAGGGGAGGATACCACCTAAGATTGCCAAAGAAGCTAAAGGACTAGAGTTGAAAGTTCAATCAGCCTTCAATTGACATAAGCAGTATATGGATTGCTTAGTAGTAGAAACTATATACCTTATGGGATCAAAGATAATCGAAGATTAATAAACTGGTACATGCAAACATGCCGATAGTAACAAGTAGAAGATAACACGTCCTCTAGGTATCAATAGTGAAAGGTTAGGATGGTGAATTCTTTGGAAATGGGAAAATTTTGATCTACATCTTTAAGCGTGCTGGTTAAGGCAACACAGTTGCTTGTGAAAGATCTATACATTATTAGAATGATAATTAAAATAACAGTCAAATAGTCATTAAAAACACTTCTGTAATATCATGTAAGTTACTTTACAAATAAATAAAAAGTATATGTCTTTTGTATCATGAACACAAGTACCGTGAGAAGAAACAGCATTTTGAGGAGACTCTATTGAGACTTTTACAGAGTTGACGAGCCATGGAATCTTCAATAAATAGGTATACGCAGATCTAGATGTGCGTGCAGTAAGGGGGAAAAACTTAAATCCTTCACTCAATTAACACTGCCCCACTATATTAATTTAGACACTAGAACCTCAAGAATGCATAGCTATCCACAAACTTGTACCATTTTTTTCAATACATACCTCTCATAACTTCTATCATAATCAGGGTCGGTACGGTCTTTCTCCTTGTCCCTAAAAATGGCTACTCTAGAAGAAGCACCAATTTCCCTGCTTCCCAGACTTTTCTCACCATCAACTATCAAGTTCATTGAAACTTCATTCTCGCCAATATTCTCACCCTTCCTATCAGAGGCAACCCATCCTGATGCATCTTCTGACCCAGAACTACTTGGACTGCTGAAAATACGAGCTCGAGCTCTGTCATATTCCTCCTTCCTTTCGTCCACTGTTCTTACAGGACTTCTTTTAAGCCCTATTCCATTGATATCATTGGATGAAGCTTTAGAAGGCCTCGGCTTTAAGACAATCTTGATTTGATCAAGTTCGTCAGTTTCAGAACGTCTAGCTGGCACATCTGACAAGCGGACAGCAGGGAACTTACTTTCTGGCTTCTTTAAAACCAAAATCCGATTTCCCTGACCATCTACAGAGTTGTCCTGAACCATGGTCTGCAGACCATAGTGTTGAGCAACACGGTGTGCTGCAAGACGAAGGTATGACGTAGGGAAGTGCGGAAACTCAAAATGATGTAGACCAGAGTTCTGCAAGAACTTTTGTACATCGAGCTCCATTCGCAGAACTGATGAGAAAATAATAGATGAGAGCGCAATTACTAGTTATCCTCAACAGTAATAGCAATAATAAAAAAGAATAAAATAAAATAAATACAGTAAATCAGCAGGCAAAATAAAAATAAACCAAATATCATAAGAGAATTTCAGCAACTTAAGGTATCTAGCTGCAGAGATGGCCAGAGTCAAATACTAAAATGCGTACCCAATTTTGAGGAATATGGGAACTTCAAAACTCTGCAAGAATTTTACCAGTATATTGTAAGATTATAATGTAGCTTCGTTCTTATTTATATCCTTTGTTTCATTGTCTCCTGGAAACATAAAAGCAAATTTCTTTCAGGTTTTTCACTACATCAAGGTATAATTAGCTTTGTATCCCCTAGGTAGTTAGTAATGAGCCGGGCCAAGCTGGCTCGCAAGCCCTCCCAATTTGGCTCAGCCCATCTCGTCACAATTCGAGCAGGGGGCTTTTTTATTTCAAAGGGAAAAGGGAAATTGATCATTTATTTTTTGCTTCAAATACTTAAAAATTTTAAATATAATAATTTGAAAGAAATGTTTAAGAATACATATGCTTTGATTTCAAGCTTTACAAATATGAAATATCCATTTGAAAATGTACAATTATACATTCATTTGGAAAAATAAAAGAACTAACATTGCATTATTACAATTTACATCCATTTCGATCTAAGCATTCCATTAGTTATGTATCAACGTTCCAACAAAAATACTTGCATGCATAAAAAATCCCAGGTTCAACAGGGTTAGTGCAATCGCGATTTGTTTACTTCACAATAACTCGGAAACGATAGATATTTAAGAAAAATGTAAGAGAAATAGAGGCAATAGAGTTTAGATATTGAGAAATAGGGTAGAGAGTTGAAATAATAACAGAATATTGATAATCTGGTACAGAAAATTTGTGAAATGATATAGGTATTTTATCAAAAATTATTAAGAATTAAAAAAAATTCATCGATGTATTTTGAACATTGTCTCAACTTCAAAATTCATTAAAATTTGAATGTTGTCTCACAACATTCAAATTCACTGAATTAGGCCGCAATAAGCCTGAATTCAGTGATGAATTGGTGATGGATGCATAATTGTGATACATCCATAACCTGCAGATTAGGGCTGATTAGGTCTGCTAAAGCAGGCTGCCCGCTTGCTCACACGAGCCAGCTCGTGACTTTGAAGGCGGGCCTAGCTCACCACATTCGTCCCATCAAAAATATGGGCCTGGCAGCTAGCAAGCCAAATTTTCACTCACCTGGCCGCGGGCTCGCAAGTGGCTTGGCTCAATTGCCACCCCTGTCTATGATTTTCTTATGACAAGTGCCCCTATTTCTACATATAGCTGAAGTATCCATTAAAAAGGTGCCAAGGTTAGTTCTATACTGTCTCCTATAATTTATAATGATAACAACTTGCTCTAAGACCTTCTCATCAACATGTTGAGGCAGAATTATATGCTGCATCCAAGAAAACCATAACATCATTTAAAGATACTTCTTCGCCACATCTTTACTGGAAGCAAAAATTAATAAGCCAAAGTTCAATGAAAGGAGGCAATAATAATGACAGCTTATACTGTCTAGAATATTTCAGTTGGTCCAACCATCAAACTATAGATTAAAAACTGTTAAGATTCATTGCATCAGGTGAAACTACCTTGAGAGATAATAATTCAGTTCTACAGTTAATCAATTATGTATTTCTATTCTTAGCTGTTCAGAGAATCAATTAGCTCAGCTATTCCTAAATCAAATTTCTCAAGATTTACATCTGTTTCTCCCCCACAATTTCCTCCATCCAAACGCCCATCTTATATACAAAACTAAAACCAAACGACCCATAATCAAACATCGCCAGATCTAACCCAACCAATTTAAAATTCCTAAATTCCCAAATGTTAACCCTAATCTAAAACCAAGAATCCAACTAAGTATACAATACAAATCTACTTAACCAAAATACGGGAACAAAATTAAACAAGGCGTGACAATTAAATTCAAAAGCTTTAAGATACATGAAGAGATAAAAGAACCAACTAGTTAATCGGTGACGAGGGTTTTGAAGAGCCTCAACAAGGAACGGATCAACCATTGAAACGTAAGCAGGAAACCCATCCTTTTGCTCCATAAAAACACTTTTGTCATTAACTTCAACAGCTTCCTTAGGTACTTGAAATGAATCTTGAGAAGTCAAATCCATGTTTCAAGAGAAATTATTTTTATATATGGAATAGGGAAGAAGAGAGAAAGGGAGAAACCCTTCCTCTTTTCTGCCACGCGAACCGAAGAGAATGAAACGGGAACAATGGATTGGATTTGTATTATTTTTGTGCGTGTATTTTTTGGATTTTTTGGGAATGGTTGAAAAGTCGAGAATGGAAAATGAGGACCTTTATCCTTTTTTCTTTTTTTCTTTTTTTTTTCATTATTTTGGAATATACTGGTCCTAGATTTTCTCTTCACAAGTACCGATTATTGATTTTTTTCCTACTCCTTTTATTTATTTATTTTTTACTGTATTTATTATAGAATTTATATAACTAATCATATTATAATAGAAATATCCTTAATTTAAGGAACCAAAATGTATCTGCAAGTACATATAGCATTAATCCATGTGGTTTTAAAAATAAGACGCTAGTTTTACTTAAGATTCATTTGGTATAACTTTTGCTTTTTATAAAAAAGTTTTGAAAGAAGCTATCTTAATTATTATTTGAAAAATAATTTTTAAAAGTACTTCACATTTCAAAAGTGCTTTTAAAGAAAGTAATATTGAATCAACTTCCTCTAAAAACTTTTCTAATTAACAAAAACATTATCATAAAATTAGTCAAACAATCTAAAAGCTGCTTTGAATCTCAAAAGCTCGTTTTGACTTTTTCAAAAGTCATGCCAAACGAGTCTTTAGATAATTCATGCATGCTCTCGAATCTCTAAGCTCTCTCTTTTCCAATTATAATAAACTCAACCAATTTTTTTAAATTTTGATCACTGGCGGATTTAGCTTTCGGCATGAACACGAGCTAATATGGCAAAAAAAAAAAAAAAATTACACATAAAAATTTTTTTCTATTTTTTTTAAAGGGGATTTGGAGTGGACAGACGGGTTGTAGCACTCGCCTGCTCATCTCTGACTCCACCCCTGTTTTGAACCCGTCTCTCTAATAGTTACTTCACAAGTTTAATTTATTATTCATGCTTGGTAAGAAAAAATTTTCCTTTTCGTACTACTCATTTCATGGAACATTTTCAAATTGTTGAGGATGACATTTTCTTGAAGTAGTAGCGAATCTAACTTCAAGTGGCATCATGTTGCACTTAAGTTCGAAAATAGGCCAGAGAAGAAGCATACCATCGGGTTGTATTTTTGGGGCATTTTGAGTATATTGTATATGCCATTTTTTTTTTCGGATATTGTGTTTTTCTCTCTATTTCTACGTGTGTGTTTTTCCCGCAACTTATGAAACCATTTATATTTTCTTTCTAATTGTAATGTCTCTTTTTAGTTTGTAATTTTTTTGCACCTGCATGGATAAATAGTATTTTAAAAATAATATTAAAAAAATCATAGTTTTCTGTCTTTGGCTTACGGATGGAAAGATCTGCCAAACAATATTTAAAAATAAATAAATAAATAAATAAATAAAACTTTAATGCAACTTTTTGTATAATTTTACTTGCAGGTTAATAGGAATACTTAAAAATACAATTTAACGACGGATATTCCTTTGGTTAAAGATTCACCAACTATTGGTAGTTGTTATTGATGACTTGTCACTTAATCGCCACAATATTCATGGATAACTGTTTGCAACTTCATTAACGGAATTTCGATAGCTGATAACGGCTTCTATGATGGAGTACACACACGTTTTCATCGGGACTTTCACCAACAACGCAAATAACATCGAAAGTTTGTATTGATAAT